GGGTGGTGGTGTGACCATTAATCATGACGTGTCAACTTGAATGGAATCAGAAATGCCTAGCAGATTAGTAAAGCACAGTTGTGGGTGTGTCTGTGGATGACTGACAAGTAGACCAGCAAACTGAATGGGAAGACCCACCCTGGATGTGGGTGGCACCAACCAATGGGCTTGTATCCTTAATGGTATGGAAAGGGAAAGAGAAGAACTGTTCTTGGTTTTGAAGAGCTCCAGTCTTTGCCATCATCTTTGGACATCAGTCTCCTCACTTCCAAGAAGACTTATGACCCTCTAATGGACTCGCAGGCCTTTTACCTTGGACTTGCAGCAGCATCCTTCATCCCTCTTTTTTATTCCTCCCATTGTTTATTGGTACATTTAAGTTTTTTTGTTTTTGTTTTTGTTTTTGGTACCAGAGATCGAACTCAGGTCCTTGTGCTTGCAAGTCAGGTGGATATTGGTACATTTAAAGCAAACAATACAGTTATATATATCATTAGGATCTTGTACCTTTACATGATATGTCTTGGTTCTTATTTTTTTCCCTATACCCCTGCTCTCCCTCCACCACTTCACCCCTTCATCCTTCTTATTCTGGGGCTGAGCAGCTGCTGGGTTCTCCATTATGTAGATGGCCACTGTGGACTCTGCCTCAGCCCTGGGAAAGAGTCATCACTTCTCCTCCTTAGCCTCTTCAGGTCTGGGCATCACCTCCTGGTACTGTCTGTGCCTTTCCAGTCTCCTGCTGCTTTGCCACCTTTGGCTCTAACACTGCTTCACCTGGCCTTGCTGAACAAAGGGTCCTAAGAGTCCCCAGCTGTGGTGACAGCCCCTCTGTGCACCTCCTTGTCTCCCAGTCCCCCTCTGAGCCCAGTCCATCTTGCAGCAAACAGGTTTTCTGACCCCATCCTAGCAATGCTTCCCTTGAGGTCAACTGTGTTACTTGCTTCCTTGCAAAGGTCCTGTGACATCTGGTGTAGGAAGCACTCAATCTTGGGCACCCAGGAGAATGAATCTCTTGGCCTGTGGCCACGGAAATCAACCATGGCCATGAAAAGTGGGAGCCTGTGGATGGATGCTCTTTTCCTCCTGAGTAATGACTGTTACACTTTTAGAGCTTTTCTTGGAAGCTTCCAGAAGGAAAGAGCATCATGTAGTCTGTGTTAGTTACTTTTCTCCCATTTCTGAGATAAAATACCCAGCACTCAAAGTTAGAGGGGAAGGGGTTTATTTGGCTTACAGAGGTTTTAGTTCTTAGTCTGCTGGCTCTGGATCACAAACAAGGCAGGGATGGCAAACAGCCATTGAATAGGAGAAATGACGTGGTATGGACAAGGTAGCAAAGGTGATGAGCTTTCTGCCTCTTTTATCTTATTCAGACTACCGGGATTAGTGTGGTGCCAAACCAATCACTCACATGTAGTGGTTTAGTAATCACTTCCTTAATCCTAGCATCACTCACTCTAGGTTCAGCAATCTCCAGAATAGCCCATGATCATATCAGGCTTTGGGGGGACATCCAGACACAAACCATGATACAGTCCAGTAAGCTCCATGACAATCCTTCCTGATTTCCCATTCCTGCATTCTGAGATACCTGCTAGGGGAACTGTGAGCAAGTTTTGTCTTGGGTTTTGCCTCTGGGTAGATGAGGCTAAGACACTTGGAAACCCAAGTGGGAATATTAAGTTTTGAACAAAATTATCATATTGATTAATGTGCTTTCACTGGAATTGCTTTTAGTCAATTGTTTTCTGGCCAAAAAGATAATTCTAAATGTCTGTATTTCTACCTTTCCAGCCACAAACACATACTCTCACACCTATGTCCACATGTACTCCCACATGTACCACACGTACCTCCCATATACACAGGTAGCATGCAGTCACATATGACAAGCTCTTCACACGCACACACTCGTGTGCATGTGTGACACACATGTGCAGCACACATCCATACGCAAGGACGCATGTGTACACACATGTGCACACACACATGCTGCTTGGTTTGCTGGATCGAACTCAGGACCTTGTGCTTGCTTGTAAGGCAGGCAGCAGCACCACTCAGCTGAATTCCCAGCCCCTGCTGGTTCCCATTTTGACTCCTTTTCCAGCATCTGTGCTCAGCCAGTTCCAGAAGCAGTTTAGCATCTTGGTCTTCTGAGCTGCCCCTAGGGTGCTCTGAGAGTGTTTTCGTGTTCCAATCACTCACAATCCTCTGAATATGGACCGGACACCCTGGAGAGTGCAGCTTCAGAGGACAGGCAGTAAGGACAGCAGGAGCTGGAGCCGATGTACACCCAACACACCTGGCTTCCATGCCAGCTAGCACCGTTGCTGGCCCCTTCTCCTGAGGACACCTGGTTTCATCCGCCCTGTGTTTTTCAGTGATTTTCCTTCCTTTCACTTGCAGATCATTTATGTTTGGGGTGGAGGAGGAAGGTAAAGAGAACAATGTAGTCACAGAAGGCTCCTGGAGATGGTGGGCCTGGAGGAGTCTTGGAGGATCATTAATGTTGAGGGAGAGAGCATCTTAGGCATTGGCTAAGGGATGTAGGATAAGCCATGATACAGAGAAATATTCATGGGCAAATGACTAACATCCAGTTTCTTGAATCCTGAGTAGGTTAATATATCTCTAGGGATTGCAGTGGGGTGTGTCCAATTGGGAGGGCTCAGACCTCCAGCATGTGCTCCAGGCACTAACAGCCTCTCCCCCAAAATTGTCAGAACCTCAGAGGAAAGGTCCCAGGGAAGAGAGATTTGGGGAAAATGCCTCTGAGCCCCAATCTCTTTCTCCTTTCTCAAGATAAGCAAGCAAAGCAAATGCCCGTGATGTGGGCTCAAGGACGCCATGTGTGGACACGGCACCTCGGCCTTTGTTCTCTCTGCCCAGCCCCACTCCGATGCTTGGGAGGGCGTTGGCAAAGAGGGGCCTGTAAGGGGACCAGTGTGACCAGGGCCCCCTCAGCTGGACTAAACTTCAGAGAAGCCTCCTCCTGACACCTCTCCTCTATTTCTTAAAGCATTTAGGAGACTTGGATGGGCAGAGCCTTTCCCTGCCCCTTGGAGATGTGAATCTCTGAAAAGGCCTCTCTCCAGCTTTACAACCCAGGGTTGTCTCAGAAGTGAGCGAGCCTATCTGAATTCCCTGGGTATCTTGCTGGGACATAGGAGGAGTTCACTTTCCCTTTGGGTAGAGGCCATCTGTGAGCATGGATGCCTGTAGTTTCCCCCTGGCCCTGACCCTTTGCAACCCCACTGTTCCTCATTTCAGGGAAGTAGGGCTCAGACAGAGTTCTGAGGCCTCTCTCCTCTCTTGCAACAGTTTTGAATAAAGTCTTCCTTATTTATCAGGTGCTTTGATGGGACTGGGGAGAAGGCAGCAGATCACTTTGCTTTGGGGATGTGTCAGGATGGTGGGTGTATTACTTACTTTTCCATCACTGGGACAAAATACCCAACACTTCTGACTTCAAGGAGAGGTTTATTTTGTCTGAGATTCGAGTTCACACTTGGCCGGCTCCAAGGCAGAAATGGCACAGCTGAGGGGCCTAGCAGAGGACAGCTGCTCACCTCATGGCAGCCAGGAGGCAGAGACAGATAAGGGAGGTGTCAGGACACCCTTGCAGGCCACGCCCACCTCCAACCAGGCGGAGCCTAACGGCACTTTACTGAAGTCGTCAAAGGATGAACCTACTGATGAGAACAGCACCCCCATGATCTGCACATAAGACTCCTGGGAGACATTTTAGATCTAACCCATAACTGAGAGTGAGTCCCTATGCCCCCAACATTTCTGTGGCTAATTTTACATGGATCAAGCAGTTAATATTGGAAGACACCGGAAGTCCTAGCCAGCCACAGGAATAGCAGTGTTCATATTAATACTTTATCCCGACAGGACCAGGGCTGTTAGTTGGCACCATGTTGTAGCTAGAACGAGGACCCATTTGAGTTTTACAGCTACATGCCCATGCCCTGGGAGGCTGTGCAGGCTTCTCCCAGACATCTCATCATCCCGGTATCTTATGTTATTGGATTCTCTGGACTCTGTTGATCACAAGGTGCTGAGTTTTGCCCTTACTGATGCATTTTTTAAAAATGTGTGGGTGAGGAAGCTTTCAGAGCTAAGCTTGGAGACAAGGTTGCCCAGCCAATTGCATGGCAATTCCAGGGGAAAATCTCACTTAATAACAAGAAGCATCACAGGATTTTGGCTTTGAGTTGAGATTGAAGTCAAAGATTCAACTCAGCAGAGGCACTTAAGTGGCTTTCCAACAAAACCATTACATTTTTTCGAGGTTTCAATGGTTTTGTGGTATCATATATACGTGACCTATTTAAATAAATCTCACCCCCTCTGTGTATAATGGCCTCTTAGCATCCTATTAAGTACACTCCCTTTTCATGTCAAAAAATATTTCCACTGGGGCTTGAAATTAGCCCAGGATTTTTTCCCTTTGTTCTTCTGGTCTATCAGTGTTACAGATTGAAGTGGACTCTCTAGCTGAATAGAGTTTATTAGGAAATGTGAAGGCAGGAAGTTCAGACAGGGCTGCCTTCACCCCAAGAATTCACTACTTTTTTGTTCACTGGGGGGTGGGAATGATTATGTTTTAAAATACAGACTTTTGGAGCAGCTTACAATATTTTGGAAATGCTGTCTTTTTAAGGCAAAGCTTTTCTCCACATCTACAGTTCACTGACAGTTCTGCCGCCGAGGTACTGGAGGGGTACCCTGTTATTTTGGGAAATATCTCACTTTCTGAGCTTTCTTTTCTGATTGGGACTTGGAAGGCAAACTGGTGGAAGGTATGAGGGAATGTGAAAAAACATCATAGGAAACAATGAAACTGGATTTAAAGCATATTTATTAATTCTCAGTAAGATCTTATCTGACTCTTACTCAACTAATAAAAAAGAGTTGCTTTGTTTGAAGTGGGGTCTGCTTAGTTAAGTAGACTTAATTCCTGAAATAGGGTCCTGTTCAATGAGGTTTGGTATGCAAAGCATCTAAAACATAAAACAAATTAGTTGCCAACACGTAAATTTCAGGGACTATTTTGTAAAATTTGAGGTTTCTGGCTTCCTCTGGAATCAGACATCTGACCCCTATCGGCTGGCTCCATCCTTCAAATGGTCACCATCAGGGAGTCAGTGGGCCGAGGCTGGCCAGGTTCCGGACATGCAGTTCTCTCCGTGGCAGGTCTGTCCCAGCCCTGTCTGGTGCTCAGGGGCTGCGTCACCCATTCATTTCCAGGCAGGACAGCTCTGCAAGAACCCAGGGAGGCAATTTCCAGCTGGACAGGATGGGAGCTGGGCTGTGGCTTGGGTGATATCGGTGGTTAGAAGCCACACAAGCAATGATGAAAAGAAGGAGCCCCAGGCAAGGAGATGGTGACACAGCTTCCCGCTGACGTTGCCACTTACTGTTGGTTGCATCCTTTCATCATCCCACACCGGGGTCCACACCACTTAATGAGCTCTGCCCTGGAGCCTGTCTGGGGAGCTGGATTTAAAGATAATAGCAATGATAATAGCTGACATTTATGGAACATGGACCACGCTCAGGCTGAGTCTCTTGTGATTGTTGACTGCCTACTCCACCCAACCCTCTTGGGAGAGTAAGAGGTGCGTTTGTGAGTTAGCTTTTCAAGGCTGTGACCAAATACGTGAGAGAATAACAGTTTACAGGAGGAATCACTTAATCTTGATGCGGCTTTGCGCGCCTGTAGTCCCAGCACTCAGGGAGGCTGAAGCAAGAGGATTGCAAGTTTGATCCCAGTCTGGGTAACTTAGTGATTTAAAATCTCGTCACAAACAAAGCAAAACAAGAAAGGGCTGGGGATGTGGCTTAGTACAAAAGTCCAGAGGTCAATCCCCAATTACACCACCCCCCAGACACAAAAAAGAGAAAGATTTATTTTGGCTCACTGTTTCAGAGGTTTCAGTCCATGTTTCGTTGCTGTGAGGTGAGAAAGAACATCATAGCAGAAGGTTAAATTGGAGCACAGCTGCTCACTGCACAGCAGCCAGGAGGCTGAGACAACCAGAGGCCTGTGCATGCGGATGGGCTTCCTCCTCACGGTTGGTTCCATCCTAGCTCCACCCTCCTGGATAGTCTAGCCCATCAGTTTACCATCTCACATGCCAATCATCTCTGCTCCGGAAGCACCCTCAATACACCCAGAAGCATGCTTGGCTAATTTCTTAGGTTTCTGCATCAATCAAGCTGACAGTCAATACCAACTGTCGTAGGGGAGGGGAATTCTTATTTCCTCTGTCTTGCGGGTGAGGTGATTTAGCCTCACCACCATGGTTGTGCCGCTTTTCCACCAGGGCTGTTGAGCTTGCTGCCCTTCAACCCACGGATGGAATCTTTAGGCCTGTTAACCTTTCTCTTGCTGGAAAGTTCACTTGTCCTCATAAAGAGACTTCGGGTATCTCTGGGCTTCTTGATTTTGGAATTATCTTATTTTTAAAATAAATATGAGGCTTGTAGGGTTTCTGTAGGTGCCAGGTGCCCAGATAGTGCTACACACCACAAAGGGTAAGGACCTAGCTTTTGCATTATGCAGTTAAGAGGTCTGGTGGGGGGCTCATTTAACAAAACAGCAACCACAGTGCTGTGACAGTGAAACTGAATTGTTAACTTGGCGGTCTTGAGAGCTGCTCAAGGGGTTGGTGGAGCACACCCTGGTTATATCTGGGTGGGTCTTAGACGTGTGGCTTTGGAGACTATAGCTGGTTCCTAGCCCATTCCTCTCTGGCACTATTTCCCTAATCTGCTTCCTGGCCACAATAAATTAAGCAGCTTTGTTCTGCCATGTCTTCCACCGTGACGTTCCTGCCTTGGAGCCAGCAGAACATGGATTGAACCTCCTGAAACCTTGGGCCAAATAAATTTCTCTCCTTAAGTTGTGGGTGTTGGATATTTTGTCCCACTAATGGGGAAGGCTGGCTAATATATGCAGGGTCTCCTGGTCTGATCCAGAAGTGGGGCTGAGGGAGGAAGGGAGGGGTGGGGATTGCTGTTGTGATGTAAGTGGATGTCACAGAAGTGAGATATTTGAAATTATTTTCATACAGGTTTTGGTTTGCTTTTGGTTGAGCAGATTGGAAAATAATGGCATGAGTGGGGATACTTTAATTTTGCTGCAGTCTGGTGGGAATTAATTTATCCTATTGTAATTGAAGATTAGATCCAAAGATTGTTTTTAGCTGTAGGGTTTCTCGAGCCATGTAGAATTCTTGGCAATTGAACATTTTAAGTGCTTCTATTTTCATTCTTAAATTTTTAAATTTTCTAACTGAATTGAGGCACAGATGGATGGAATATTTTTTCTAATGGTTTGGCTGATGCCTGGAAATGATATACACTCCTTCTTCTTCTCAGTAATGAAAAATAATAATGCCTTCTATGTGTAGGATAATTTACCAGGTCAGTGGAAGTAAATAACTGATGTTGCTGAACAGAAGCCCCAACTCACAGACAGCCTGTGCTGTCTTCTTCTCTCTGCTGCTTCTTAGCTATGTGACCTTGGGAAAATGATTCCATTTCTCTGTTCTTGGGTTTCCTCATCTGAAACATAAATACTATGATGAATCTTATCTTGTAGGGCTGTTATGGAGATGAATAATAATATTTGTAAATCAAAATGATGTCCTGGTACCTTGCAAACAATTAATATTATAAAAACAATTGTTATTTTGAGCATGTCATTTCTTTTCTTTGGGGAAGAGTATAATTAGTGGAAAGGTCTAATTATCATTTGCAAAACTGGATTAATGAAGGTGCATGGAAAAGCAGTTGGCCGCTCAATCACTAGACACTTTTTGATGATTACTGAGGTGTACTAAGCATCTCCCACGTGGCAGATACTTTCCTAAGTGTTTAAGCACCAGCTTACCCCATCCCGGCATCAATCTCGTGAGGTGGGTCCTGTTTTCATTCACACTCTGTGGTAAGAACATTGATACTTAAGGGTGAAGTGGATTTTCTAAGGTCACAAACATAACACAAGGCAGAGATGCGATCGCCCTAGTTTGAATGGTGTTAGAATATGTGATGGTGATAATAATCCTGCACTGCTTCTTTTGTGTGGTCAACGACAAATGATACATTGTGGACTTCTGAGATCAAACTAAAATGCCATTCCCAAACTGTCCTCTAACCTGACTTACTCTCCAAGTGGTGCTCTTTTTTGTGCTCGGTAGGTTTTATGGAGGACGCTGCAGAGAGGGGACCAAATTGTTTTTAATGGACAGTGGTACAATCTGTGAGGATATGGTAGTATGTTGATGCAGCTTTCATGTGTTTATTTGGTCAACATCTGCTGACCGCCAGCTCTAGTTGAAGGTTTGTAGTACTGGCCAGAGAATAATGACAGAGTTGCATTGGTCACTTTTCCATTATTGGGACAACATAATTGACATATGCAACTTAACGGAGAAAAGGTATATTTTGGCACATGGTTTCAGAAGTTTCAGTCCATGATTTCAGGAAAATTACAGAACAGCATCTCAGAGGAAAGCTGTCCACCCGGTGGCAGCAAGGAAGCAGAGAGACAGGGAAAAAGTCTGAAAGGGAGGGGCTGGAGACCAGATAGAGTGCCCAAGGTCACACCCCTATGACCCACCCAGACAACCGAAAAGAATGCTTTACTAATCTCCTAGGTGTCTCTCAAGCCAGTCAATTTAACAATAAAGATTAATCATCACATTTTGCCCCTTGTCAACTTGGTACTTAAACATATCCCCTTAAACCCTACTTAATCTCCATATAGAGGTAATAACCAATTCAACCTAATGATATAACTATCCTGTGTACATGAACACACAATAATCCCTTCCCTTAAAGTCTCAGCAGTTCTAGAATTGCTCAAAAGTCGAAGCCAAAGTCTCCTCTGGGGCAAAAAGTAAACTCTTAGCAGTGAATCTCTGTAAAATTAAAAAAAAGCATGTTGCATGTTCCCAGGATACAGTGGCATAGATGAATAGTCCCATTTTAAAGGGAGAAATAGAGGAATGAAAAAAATTGGACCAAAACAAGACCAAAACCCAGCAGGGCAAAAAAAACCTGTAGCTCCATGTCCAGTTTAAAGGGCTCATGGTGGCATGATGTGAGTTTCAAAGGGCTTGGCAGCCTCAATCCCAGGGACTTGCTCGCTGTAGTGCACAAGGCTTCTTTCTTGGGCTGGTTCTGGTGCTGCTGCAGCTTTTCTTGGCAGATATTCCATGTCCCTGGCATCTCCAACTTCCTAAGCCTTTCACTGCAGCTTTGGTTTCATACTACTGCTTCCTCCATCACCTTCTCAGGGACTCCCAGCAGGGATTCTGACCCTTTTACACTGCATTGCCTAACTTTACGTGCTTTCTTCTGAAATCTGGGTAGAAGCCCATATGCCTTCATAACTCTTGCATTCTGCATACTTGCAAAACCGGCATCAGGTGGATGATGCTAAGGTTTCTGCCTGAATGAGCAGTAGCTGAGACCCCTTGGATCATGGCTGCAATGGCCTCTGAGTGCCTGGATGGTTGAACACCAGGTAACACTTCCTTAGAGGGCCATGGATGAACAGGGTACCCTGGAACTCTCTTCTATAAGGAAAATCTTTCAAAAGAGTTTAAATTTTTGTACCCTTGAGTTTGCAATGGGTACAATATGACCAATTCCTGAGATGCCCTCAAGTCATCTTTCCTATTGTCCCAGTGAATGATACTTGGCTTAAAAAAAATAAAAAGCAGCAACCACACCTTCTTTGGCCCCAACTTTATATATCCTTCTGGCAAAATGATAAAATTTAAAAATCTTTCACCTCTGCTTCTTGCTCCTGATTCTCACTATAAATCTGGCTAATAGCATCTAGCAGTACCCACCTCACACCCTGATGTTTTGGCTTCCTAGAAATTTCTTCCCCTAGATCAATTAGTCTATCACCTTTAACTTCATGCAATAAAGTTGTCATTTCAGTATTATGGGTCACAGGCAAGCTCCCTGTGGAGCTCGCCTATACACACTTTCACAGAGCATGATCCAAGGTTTTTTCTAGCACTTTATGAAATGATTACCCTTGATACAGTGGTTTAGGTCATGGACAAATGTAGACAAATTCTTTGCCAGAATACAGCAAGCATTATATTTAGTCCATTTTCCAACAGAGTGTTATTTTCACCTGAAATTTCATGAGCACTGTCTTTACTGTCTGTACTCCTATCTGCACTCTGTTCTTCTGAGTTCCCACCAAAATTGCCTATCAATTTCTGCATACCACATTCTAGGGCCTGTCTGGCCCAAATCTCCAAGCTTTTCCAAATTGTTTCTGCAAACCAGTTCTGCAGGCTTTTGACTGCATGGTCAGTTATAGTCACAGCAATAACCCCATTTCTGGTACCAACTTTCTGAGTTAGTTTCTTTTTTATTGTTGGCACAAAACACTTGACATATACAAATTTTAATTTTAATTTGAAGGAGAGGTTTAGTTTGGTTCAGGTTGTCAGAAGTTTTAGGCCATGGTCAGCTGGCTTCAATCAGAAGCACAGCAGAAGTGTGTAGTGTAGGAAAGCAGCTCAACTCATGACATCTGAGAAACAGAGCAGGAGAAGAGCCGGAGAGGGGGCCAGAGACCAGTTAAAATCTTTAAGGTCACACCCCTCTGTTCCTCCCAGACACATCACAAATGTTGCTTTACTCATTAGGCATCTCTCAAGCCAATTAAATTAACCAGTATTAACCATCACATTTGTCCACTCGCTGGAATCATCTGGTTAGCGGTATTTTGACACATGTGCCAAAAGGGCTGCATAGAGGCAAGATTCTAATAAATACAGGCCATTTCCTTCTGAAATATCTTGATGTGGACAACGCTTCCCCAGAATTCTCCTGAGAACAGCTAGCAAACCTATTTCCAATAGGTTGTACGTATGGGATTTCCATTCATTTTTCTGGTTAAGGATGGGGCAGTATTTCCCATGGTTGAATGTGTTCCCCGAAGCAA